GTCCAGCAAGACTCTGTAAACTGTCACAACAACTGTCACAACATTGTCTGCTACAACGGTCCGACATGACCCCATAAACTGTCTTCTACATTGGTCTGACACAACCATCCAGTGTCCTCTACAACGTTATGACACCACCATCCAGTGTCTTCACCAATGGTCTGACACGACCATACAGTGTCTCCTATCCTCTTTTCTTTTATGTATTCGTCTATTTTCTTGTTTTGTTACTCTCTCCAAACTCAAGTTGGCTAGTTCCTATCCCCCTTTGCGGGGGGCTGTTAAAACCTATCACCTACTTCACCCACTTAAACCTACTCTACTAAACCTAACCCACTACACCACTACCACCTCCACTTCACCTACTCCTTACCTACTACACACTCACCCTCTTCTATATATAGGAATCATGAATCATTGTAATAGATATCAATATAAATCAATCAATAATACAATTCTCTATTTCTCTTTATACATTAAATTTCTACAGAATTGAAATATATTTGTCTTTTAGTTTTGTAGTTCTCTTTTTAGTTTTGATATTTAATTTTAATTTGTAGGTTGGATCATTTAACCATAATTATAAAATAAAATAAAAATATCGGCATACCGCAGCCGTACCCGTATCATACTTTTTTGAGTTTTGCCGTATTGGCGTACCCGCACCGTACTCATATCCGCACCCGTGCTTCATAGGATTCGATCAATGAGGGTAGTCAAAGACATTATTTTTTGATAAATAGGGTAGTCAAAGACATTACTGGTGATATACCTCGAATCGTGTTAAACATGCACCGAATGTAATTGTCATTTCGAAATAAAATAAAAGTAAAAATTTATTTATATGCTCAACAATATGCTCAAACATCTTTTTAATATATTTTGTAACTAATCAAATGCTTAGCATTTGTTCTACTAAAGATGTGAGAGACAAGACAGACATATGACTTCAAATGACAAGCCATTTTTATCATCACAAAAGGTATATATAATAGGTCCAAATTAATTTTTGTTCGTAATAGCCCTGACTACTTAAATTCCAATTCATAACCTCAACAACACTACACTGAAGTATGTCCTTCACAATATGGTGTAAACTTAGTTGCATGAAGCGGGAGCGGGAGCGGGGGAGCGTGAGCCGATAGAAGTTTCTTAGGTTGGGAGCGCCTCGGGGAGCGCTTATATATATATATATATATATGTATATTATGCATATATAAATAAAATTAATTCAAAAATTTTGGAGTGGCTTTATTTAAATATATTAGTTTTGATGACTTACATTGCTACACAAAAATATAATAGAATCCCATAAGAAAATTCATCACTAATACAAAATATCATTAATTCTTAATCATCTAATCAAATAAAAAGACTTGACAATGTATAACTTTATTTGTTATATGTAAAATTAAAAACATATATATATTATTTATTTATTTATTTATTTTTAAGTTTTATTTGTTTACTTTAACATCAAATTTTGTTTACAAATTATTTTTTGTTACAAAAAAAATAATTTATTTTACGTATGTTTAAGTTGAGAAAATAAGAATATTCAAAAAAATAGAAAAAAAAAGAAAAAGAGGAAAGGAAAAAAAAAAGGTTTTTTTTTGTTAATATATATATATATAATAAGGAATTAGGGACATCAAACGAATAGAACAGAGGAGAGAGAAAGAGAGAGACGATTGCTCAAAAAGAAGAGAGAGAGACCATCGCGCAGAGTCGATGAGTTCAACACAAGCGAGAGACAAAGTCGAAAGCGAGAGAGAGACGATTGCGCAGACTCATGGAGAGAGATGAACAGAAGAAGAAGAAAAATAAAGAACGAAGAAGAATAACAAATTAGGGCTTCAACAGGTTCTTCTTCACTCTTTCTCTTCTATTTTTCTCTCTCTGTCTCTCTCTCTCTCTATATATATATATATATATTCAATTAGTTAGGGTTTTTATCTCTTTGTATTCGAGTTAGGGTTTTTTTCTGCGTATTCAGCGAGTTAGGGTGTATCTCTCTGTTTTGCTTTTCTTTTCCACCAACGATCCCATCTTGGACCGGATCGCGTTTCTCTCTCTGCAGAAACGCGATTCTTACACGTTTCTTTCTAAGAAATGCGGAATCGCGCTTCTTACGAATATTCATCACTTGGTTGCACGAATCCTGCAACTACAGTTCAAACTTCAATTGATATATCCATCCCTAACCTCAATCCCAGAATTTTCACCCTGGTCTTCCATCAACCGACCATGAATTATGTCTACTAGATAAACAGCCAAGGGTTGTGCAAATTAGACAACTTACATTTTCAAATATTTGATCCTAACACATTTTGTGGATTAATGTAGTTTCTGGGATCATTGAAGAATTGCTAACATCTAACTTCTATTTCAAATAAATTTTCTACTAGAGAAGTTATTTAGTGCTCATGGAGCAAGGTTCTTTCTTAAAATTATGGGTGTTAACCGGACTACTTTGACAGCCTGTCACATCACATATTATAGTTACTGTCGCATTTGACAAAAAAGTTTTATGTTGTGATATGGTGAAGTAAAATGATAAGGTTCCTAAACTACTTGAGGATAAAATACATTATATAAAAGCATAAAGCTGCAAAAAAAGAGGCTGTTAACTTGTTATGCATTACCACCCTTTTGCATAGATCATCAATCTTCCGTGAAAGAGCTTGATATCTCTTTGCTTTTTTTCTCACCGGTTATGGTGGTACCTTTGATTGATCACCTTTACCAATTCTTTCCAAATTCATCAGTTCATGCTCAAGTAACTCTAGTTTAGAGGAGACACCTGTTGACTCACCATCCACCTTCCATGGGGACTCCCTTCTGAAACAACAAACATTTGTTGCTGTTTAATTAGTTACAGTATGTCAACATTATATGATTTTGTAAAGATTTTTAAGAAGACTGTTAGAATTTACCTCGATACAAAATGCTTCATATGGCACAATGATTCAACAGATACATACTGTACATCCTGCAAAACACACACACACACACACGCCAAAAAAAAAAAAAAAAAAAAGAACATCGGCAATCAACATACATGGGAAACCCACTAAAGTGCTCTTTAGCAATCTGGATGTCCCATTGAAAGTGCCAAAATTAAACAATCCACCAAGTTGGTAATCTAAAATGAAGAAAAGGGTCAGGGAAAAGGTTAACGGTGCCTAGCAAGCAAATTTGAATGTAAAACGTAAATCATCATTACCATTCAAGTCATCACTCTTTACTTGATGAAACAGTATTATTTTATTTTTTTTAAACAATTATGTCAGAGAAACTATAGAATGATTTCAAATAGATGGAAATTGAGTTCAGAGGCCAACAGGTTCACATGCTTCACACCAACTCATCCTCTTCCAAAAGGAATTTGGCAACTATGGAACATAGATATGTCTTCAGCAAGTGCAAAAGACACCATGTTTTATACCTCAAAAAAAAAAAAAAAGAAGAGGACAGAAATGAAAGACAAACTGAAAAAAAAAAGAAAAAAGGAAAGGGGTCATTCGCACACAGGTAGATGAGTCCATGAAAGACATAGACATCACAAATTAACTCGATAGTGATTTTGTGACATCACTTTACTGGAGTTTAGATGATTAGCTATCAAGTAAATTGATTTTCTGTACCAAAATTGAGGAATCCAATGTTGGTTGCTCTCACCAACATGCAATTCGGGTTTCAGTGGTGATGGAAGTGGAAGATGGTAGACCATTATCTTCCAACTTTTTCCTACGTAGTTTGTCATTACAAGAACTTAATTTAAATAGAAAAATGGTGGGCTTCTATAATACCAATTACAGTTGGATGAAAGAGATGCACGAAGAAGATCCAGTCAAATGCTGAAGTGCAATGGTAAACAAGAAACACTGAATTGAAGAGTTGTTTATAAATTCAAACAGAGCTAGAAAACAAATCCTGAGTTGGCACCAAAAAGATCAATTTATCACCAAGTTATCGATAAGTGAACGAGGACAAAATGGCTAACAAGAGAAAAGACAAAGGATCGGACAAATTGCAAGCTACTGTACCCACTCCATTACAAAGATAATTAATAGGGGACTTGGGTATATAATATTAACAAACAATTCAATTTGTACTTTGCCGCCAATTAACCCTCCTTCATTGATTTTCAAAAATTATGATCCTAAGCAATGGGCATTCAAACTTTCCATAAAAGAGACATTCTTGCAACATGTCAATAGCATATCAACAAGAAATTGATCTGCTAAAAAGATGAATAAATGAACTTACGTCTTAAAGAAGAGAGAATTATTATCAAGTGAGTCGTATCAATCGTCAACTATTCATATCATTCTACTATAAAAAAAAAAAAAAAACAAACACATTGCTCTGGCTCGAGAATCAGTCACCCATTTGATTGTTTCTCAGGAAACAAATGCAAGAATTTGATAGCATTCAAACTCGGAAATTCAAAAGCCATATGATATTATAAGATATAACCCATTTTTTCTTCCCTTTCTTTCTGTTTTCTTTTCTTGGCAACCAAACAGATCAAATTTATCCATCAACGTGCAACTTCCACCAATAATTCAGGCAATCAAAAGGGAAAAAAAAGAAAAAGAAGAAAGAGAAGAGTGTGAAGATCATCAAACCTGCAAGAGTTTTGAAGCAGAATTCAAAAACTCAGAACTAAACCCATTGCCCCGTCCATACAGATCACCCATTTCATCTCTCTCTCCAAAAAACACTTCTCCAAAACCCTAACCTCCCCAAACCTCGCCGACTCCGAACAACACTCTCCTCCACCGCCACAATCGGAAAATTCCTCAAACCCCGACCTCGCCGCCATGAAATTCAACATCTCATGATTCCGACGGTAGTCGAAGGTGGTGGTTTGGGACAGCTAAAGGTACAGAGATTGGTGATAATAGTGGTATGAAGGAGGAAGATGAGGGCATTTTTGGTATAATAAAGTTGTGTATTGAGTAAAAAATAAGATTTCAAATTCATTGTGTGTGCGCTTAGAAATAATGTACATAGAGAAGATTTGATGTGTGAAAATAGAATTTCTCCTGATATTTTGATGTGGCATTAATGGTATCCATAAATTACTCTGAAATATATATGGCCAAAGTACTGATATCAATTACAAGCCCTAAGCTTCAGGATTAAGTTCTGTTATACTGTGTTTGATTGAGGGATTTGAGCTGGGATTTGGAAAGTGAAATGGAAAAGATAAGTAAAATGTGAAAAAAATATACTTACATTTTACATAGTTTCACACACCTTTCCCCTTTTCCTTTCCCAATTCCTCCCTAAATCTTCCAACCAAACACAGCATTAGGGTTTATTTTACTTATTAAATAATGTTTGTACAGAGATACGTATGTGTATCGATTAAGTGCTAAAACAAGAAACTATTTGAAAAAAGTTTATTAGAAAGTGATGAAATAAAGGCATTCATGGAATTGCAAATAACCATGGCCAAGTTTGGGTGTTGCTATATAAAGTGTACAGATAAATTCCTCTCAGCCAATAAGCTAATAACAAACACCTTAAAAAGAACTTCTAAAGAAGTTAGATTTCCACCATATCATACCATGTTGGATCAGTGAGCTCCATGGCCGCTAATTCAATCATATGACTCGGTGATATACACATCTTTTTCCATACGAAATTTATTTAGAACAGAACATTTACACGAGTTCTTCATTGATGTCTCTATTCTACAACATTTTTTTTTTTCCCTTCTAAGCTCCAGTTGTGTTAGTAATTCACTAAAAAAGGAATACATATATTTGCTAGATCAGGATTCATAGTTGAGTCATGATTTCTCTATTGAACAGAAGGATATCTGGATATATAATATTCCCTTACTCGAGAGGCGCCATCTCTAGCTTGAATCCCTTGAAGATCTCCAATGATTCTAGCCAACCATATCTCCAAGTTCCTCTGGATTTCTTTGAAGTTGTTTTTAATTGAGTCCAAGCACCGCTGTGTAGTCAGTTTGGTGTGACCTTCAAGCTCATCCCCAAAATCGCTCTTTCCCGTCTCAGTTTTCAATGCCATCAGCTTTTGTCCAGTTTCAGATGCATGCTGCTGGAGACGAAATGCTTCAAGCAAAAACTCTGTTTGCCTTTGTGCTTGAAACTCCGAGCTCATTGTGGGTTCAAATGGATCACTTGTTTGCTATATCAAGCAAGACAAACATTGTCACTAACATTCGTCATTATAAATCAATATTACTAAAATAGACAGGTCACAATGCCCATGACAGTGAGACAGAAACTAAAGCACCACGAATTATGTCAACTTGATGATTGTACGAGTGAAACAGAGGAACCTTAGTTGCACGAAGCGGGGGCGGAGGCTGGACCGGGAGCAGGAGCGGGGGAGCGTGATCCGATAGAAGTTTCTTCGGTTGGGAGCGCCTCAAGGAGCGCTTAGATATATATATATATATGTATATTATGCATATATAAATAAAATTAATTCAAAAATTTTGGAGTGGCTTTATTTAAATATATTAAATTTGATGACTTACATTGCTACACAAAAATATAATA